ACCTGTTTTGAAGGCTAAGTTGCTTCCAAATACTTAAAAATAAATCTAAACTGGAATTTGCGGAAGGAAATATGAACAAAGATGAACAAACCTAGGCTAAGGCTATGAACTAATCTGGAAAGTCTGGGAAATCTGGAAACTATTGCTGAAATCTAGAAAATGCAATCTGAAAGCTGAAAAACATGCTCTGGGCAGTCTGTGTGTGTGTTGGGCAGGCCTTGAACTGTTCTCTTCTCTCTGTTTTTGTTCCCTTCGATGCTGGTAACCTCCTCCATGATCTTCTCCATGATCTTCGGTACTGTTCCTCCATTTTCGACACTGTTCCTCCATGATCTGGTAATGGGATTGCAGGTCTGGCAGTTATTTAATAGTTATCCAATTTTTATTTAATCTTATCTCCAACAACCTTAAAGATAACTACCTAAAAATCCTCAATTTCCCATTTTAAATCAAACTTAAACTACCAGATCCAAACTACCAGATCCAAACTTATCTTCTACCACCTAAGATCCAACCTCCTTGAAAATCCGTCTGGGCCATTAAATTGTAAGCCAGCTCAGCCCAAATCCAGCCTATTGATTTTCTTGATGATTGGGCTTTACCTTGACACGTGGCCTTACCCTATTGGTTTATTTTAAGTGTAAACAATGCCTCCCAACACTTGGTTTTATGAGAATAAATCCAAGTGTTTAAATTACCTTTCAGACTCCAAAGGTCACGTGCAAAATCTGCTAAATTCCAAGATGATTGTAGCAGACATTCCCAACTTTTTCACAACTAACTCTGTCTGAGCGCATCCAGCCATCCACAGCCAGTCATGGCCACTCAATCAAACTTGCTCTCATTTTGAAATAAACACATGAAAGCAAATCAACTTATTTATGCACAGACAGAAGTATGAACCTGGCTCAGACAGCTTCTTGGGACTCTAAGCCTTTTGCCTCCCAGACTGTAGGATAATAAGACTTGAGATAAATTCCATTGATTTTTCTAAGATGAAGCTCTCCATCAAGTGACTCTAACCAATAAGCACCCCCTCTCAACACTTCATGAATTCGGAATGGTCCTTCCCAATTTGGAGACCATTTCCCAAATCTGTGATCTTTCTTGCCAAGAGGTAAAATTGCTTTCCAGACAAAGTCACTAGCTGCCAGATTTTTACCTTTTACCCTCTTGTTGTAAGACTTTGCAATTTTGAGTTTTTGAGCTTGCAATCTATCCAAAGCTGTCAAACGTGAGTCTTCAAGGTCCTCAAGCTCAAGCATCATGGCCCATCGTATTCTCCAGACTGGAGATTATGCTGAATTGCTATTCTTAAAGACCTGGCTGTTAGCTCCATTGGCAAGACTGTGTCATGGCCATATGTCAAGGCAAAATGTGTCATTTTGGTTGAACTCCTTTGTGAAGTTCTATAAGCCCACAGTGTTTCAGACAATAATTCATGCCAGCGTCTGAGATTGTCATCCACCATTTTTTCAAGCAAATTAATCACCACCTTGTTAGAAGCTTCCGCCTGCCCATTAGCTTGTGCATAATGAGGAGTAGAATTTAACAAACGGGAACCCATTTTCTTTGCAAATGCCTCCACCTGATGGCTGACAAAAACTGTGCCTTGGTCTGTTGTAATCGTTTCTGGCAGACCAAATCTGTGAATAATGTTCTCTTTGATGAACTTGATTACATCAGATTGGTCTACCTTCTTCATTGGTTTAGCCTTCACCCATTTGGTAAAATAATCTGTTGCCACTATAATAAATGAATGACCTTTTGATGAAGGAGGATACACCTTACCAATTAAGTCAATAGCCCAGCCTCGAAATGACCATGGTTTCACAATAGAATTAAGTTCAGAGGCTGGAACTCTTTGAAGTGGCCCATGGATCTGACAAGATTTGCAGCCCTTAGCATAAGCAATACAGTCTTTTAGGACAGACGGCCAGAAGAAGCCATGTCTGCGAATTAACCAACGCATCTTGATTCCAACCTGGTGTGCACCACAAATCCCATCATGGACATCAGACAGCATCTGGAAACTTTCATCTGGACCCAGACAACGCAGCAGTAGTTCATCATTGCCTCTCCTATAAAGTACATCCTCAATCAAGACATAATTGAGAGCTTGCATTTTAGTTTTCCTAGATACCTTAATGCTTTGATCTTTAAGGTACTGAATAATTGGAAAGTGCCAGTCCGTCTGGGTAACATCAATGCTGCAAGTGGAGACAGTCATGCCACGTTGATGAATTGATGGCAGATTGCGTTTTTCAACTATTACAACTTTCTGCATTACACCTTCAGGAATTCGCAGACCTGAAGCAATCTGGGCCATTTCATTAGCTTCATAGTTCTGGTCTCTGGGCACATATTTGATGGACACGTCATCAAATTCTTCCAGCAATTGCACAGCCAAGGCAAAATAAGGGGCTAAAGCAAGGCTAGTACATTTCTATTCACCAGACAATTGCTTCAAAACTAGCTGTGAGTCCCCTATAACCTCAACTATGGATACTTTAAGCTCCACCAACATCTCAAGACCAATAATCAAAGCTTCATATTCTGCTTGATTATTTGTGCAATTAAAATCCAGCTGGAAAGACATCTGTGTTTTCAGCCCAGACGGGGAAATTACCACGACTCCAGCTTCAGACATGGTTTCTGTACTGGATCCATCAAAAATAAGTTTCCAGGGAACTAAACTTATTGAAAACAAGTTTCCAGGGAACTAAACTTATTGAAAACAAATTAATCCCTTTTTCTTCATCTGCCTCCATGTCCAGACATGGATGATTTGCAAGAAAGTCTGCCAGTGCCTGCCATTTGACAGCCCTCTGTGGTATATACTTCAAATTAAACTCAGACAAGGCCAGAATCCATTTACCTATTCGGCCTCTTAACAAAGGGCGAGACAACATATATTTGACAATATCAGTCTTGGCAACCACATACACCTCAGAATAAATCAAATAATGTCTTAATTTTATTGCAGCAAAAAAGAGAGCGAGACACAACTTTTCGACCGAAGAGTATTTCACTTCGGTCTGGGTCAAACATCGACTCAAGTAATACACAGCCTGCTCCTGTTTTTTATCATTTTCCTGCGCCAGCAGACATCCTATAGACTTGTCTGCGGCAGATATATACAAAATTAAAGGCTTATTTTTCACAGGCGGTACAAGTACTGGTGGTCTGGATAAGTACCGCTTTATCATATCAAAGGCAGATTGGTAGTGTTCTTCCCACTTAAAATCTGCCTCAGACTTGAGTTTCAACAGAGGAGAAAAGACTCTGATTTTCCCAGCCAAGTTAGAAATGAAACGTCTTAAGAAATTAACTTGGCCAAGAAATCTTTGCAACTCCTTCTTGTTTTGTGGTGGTTTCGCCTCAATCACAGCCCTGGCTTTGTTCTTGTCAACCTCCAGACCACGCTCATGCACCAAGTACCCAAGGAAATTACCCGCAGACACTCCAAAGGCACACTTAAGTGGGTTCATTTTCAAGCCATGTTGCCTCATCCGCTCAAAAGACTTCCTCAAATGAACCAGGTGGTCTGCTTCCCCATTTGATTTCACCACAACATCATCAATATAAATTTCCATGAATTTACCAATCATATCATGAAAAATTACATTCATGACTCTTTGATAGGTGGCTCCAGCATTCTTCAAACCAAATGGCATCACAACCCATTCAAAAGTTCCAACAGCACCTGGGCATCGAAAGGCTGTCTTAGGAACGTCTGCGTCTGCAATAAAAATTTGGTTGTACCCACTATGACCATCCATGAAAGATAGAATTTTGTGACGAGCTACTCCATCAATCAACAAGTCTGCAATTGGCATAGGATACTCATCCTTTGGTGTAGCTAAATTCAAGTTTCGGAAATCAACACAGACTCTTAATTTTCCATTCTTTTTCAACACAGGTACTACATTTGATAACCAGTCTGCATACCTACATGTCTGAATGAATCCAGCTTTTACCAGTCGCTCAATTTCTTCTTTCACCTTCAAAGTGACCTCTGCAGACATGCATCTGGGCAGCTGTTTATACGGTCTGAATCCTTCTGCAATTAGCAGTTTATGTTCCACCAATTTCCGATCCAGACCTGGCATTTATGAGTAATCCCAAGCAAAACAGTCTTTAAATTCATGCAAAAGTCTGACAATTTGATCTCGTGTCTGCGGCTCC